AACGATGGCCGACAACTGCAACAATTACGAAAGAATGATGGCCGACAACTGCAACAATTAGAAAAGAATGATGGCCGACACTACGTCATAGTGGAGCAAAAAAAATGGCCGGGGGCAGGGGGAAGAACTAGTTAAATTAAAAGAAATTAATTAAGTTTTCTTTTATATTTATTATTGTATTATAAAGTGATACAATTAATTAAATTAACACAAAACGATATAAAAATTATTTATCTTTGCGTTCACCCAGAAGAGAATTGTGCAGTTTTGTAACTTCTGCTTCGACAATGTCATGACAAACATGGTAATAGCCAATGCTAGATATTAATTATCTGGAAACTTAACGAGTCTGTTAAATTTATGTATATTATATTAATAATTAATAATCGACTGCTTATATGCTTAAAATACCGTATTTAATTGATCTCGTGAAATTAAATAAATCAAATAAAACGATTTAAGTACTTAATGGAGAATGATTTTTAGAATTCTGTTTTCCTGGCGCCTCCACCAGTTTTATATTTTTTGAGATGTTACGAGTATAGAATTATCAATTCTTGCAGTTTAAGAAGATAATTTTTAATTGAGTAATGTTCTCCTTGTTGGCTAAGCAATTTTTGCGAAAATATTGTAATAGATAAGGTATCTGAATATCTTCATTATTGAATTTTGTTTGCAATCCTTGCATAAATAAAAGGTTTTAATCTAGAAGTTTAGAAACTTCCTTGGAACTTCATGTCGAAAATAATGTGAATTTAACTGGGTAATTTATCATTATAAGGTCTCTAACTAGTTTTCAGAAGCCGTCCTACCAATCATCTCGCTAATAATTCATACGAGTAAATTAATTGAATATCATTGCTTTTCTATTCTGATTGCGCTTCCTCATAAGTATTAGGTAAACATATTAAATTAATAATTAAGGAGAGCGTAACTGTTGAATTTTTAATTTTTTCTTTCTTTCTTTCTTGTTTTTCATCCGTTTTGTACCCGATCCTTACATGATTGTTTGTGAATTTGTGATGTGTGAGCTAGATAGTCATGAAGCAGGTTGTAACCTGCTCAAAACGAAGACAATGCTCCTTACGGGCCACCAGAGCGTATATCCTCTGTTCCCTCATTACACACTTCGATTATTTCTTCCTAGACCCCTGCCTAACATCATCTACCAGGTGATTTATAGACAACTTTGAAAATATCCCAAACCAACACGACTATATCACTTCATTAACAATATTGACTGATCAACCAAGAAAATAATTTTCTTTCTTGTAAACTAATTACTCAACTTTTAATTTTACTTGACAGGTGTCCGTTTTGCGACTCATTAGTTTTATATACTAATATATAGAACAAAGTTGATTATTTTGTACTTGATTGATAAGAAAAAACAACTGCAATAAAATATGCGAAATAATGGGCGTAATAAGACGTTTCTGTATATATTGGTCTATCTGTAGCACCAAAACTGTTCAAATATCATAAAAGACAACATTAATACGTATGTTATTAGGTATGTTTAATTAAAATTAGTGCAGTTTTTTTAAATATATATTTGAAATTAGATACCTGCTCGATAACTATCCATTTTTACTAAAAGAACAGTTGACGAGATTATCAATGAAAGCTGAAAACATAATAAGTAATGATGTGGACCATACTGTATATTTGTAGTTCGTTGCGCATAGTACATTTATTTTTTTCCAGACTAAAACAAATAGGAAAACGCAAATTGCAATAGAAATTATGTTTATTTCGCATTCCTTATCTCAAATAAGCAGTTACCCGACTGTAAATTATGTTGGTACACTATATTCGTAATATTACGCTTAATAAAATGAAACCGCAGGCGGCATCGCGCAAAGAATTTGTCGTGAAGTCGTTAATTTGAATATTGTTTGCAAATATTTCTTTGTACAGTTTGATTATTCGCATTTCTATTTTCTACTCTTCAGTTGTTTAGAAAATTATTGTGATTCACATTAGAAAATATGTCAGTTACATTGTAGCTGTGGGTACAAGCATATGATAGTGCGTGATGGTACTTATTTACAGACCATGGTATAATACTTACTCTGTCGGTATATTAATATTATACAAATAGATAAACGTAATGTACATTAATGGTAATATCTTTTGACTAAAAATTTTTAAAGAGATACAAGCAATTTTAAGTAAAATAAAAAAAAAGCTCTCTTTTGAATTTAAAATCGAATTCATTCTACTATTCTATTAGATTTACTAATCTTTAAAATTTCTTTAAAGAACAAGTAATAACCAATAACTAATCTTGTTCTTTAATGAATTCAATTAAACAAAACATATTATGTACAAGTTGCCAAGAATGAGTGCTGTCAGCACAAAGCAAAATAGTATTACGTAAATGAAATAAAATGATTTCTTATGCTGAAGTGTACGATGTGTTGCATACCTATTTACAAACAATTCCTTTAAATTTTAATCATTGATTACTATATCTCTTAAAAACCATAATGGCCGACATCAGTAACAATGCGACAACAATTGAAAAAGAATGATGGCCGACAACTGCAACAATTAAAAAAAATGATGGCCGACAACTGCAACAATTAAAAAAATGATGGCCGACAACNAACGATGGCCGACAACTGCAACAATTACGAAAGAATGATGGCCGACAACTGCAACAATTAGAAAAGAATGATGGCCGACACTACGTCATAGTGGAGCAAAAAAAATGGCCGGGGGCAGGGGGAAGAACTAGTTAAATTAAAAGAAATTAATTAAGTTTTCTTTTATATTTATTATTGTATTATAAAGTGATACAATTAATTAAATTAACACAAAACGATATAAAAATTATTTATCTTTGCGTTCACCCAGAAGAGAATTGTGCAGTTTTGTAACTTCTGCTTCGACAATGTCATGACAAACATAACCATTTACATCTACATAATTAGCAATACTTTTTGTACAAGTGGTTTGTCTAAAATGTCCAGTCTTGCTGTCTTTACAAACCAACTGAAGCGTGTACTTATCATCAAATCTAAAAAAAAAAACAGTTACATATATGCTTCCCATTTATTCTTTAATGCTCATTTTACTTTTTCATTGATGAACTGGCTTCCCAAATCGTTTCTTTCTTCCCATCTTTTTGTACAGCAACCAGGAATATTCCTTTTTCTTTGTATGTAGTATATAAAGTTAAAATTCCCATAAGTAAGAAATATGTTGAAGCGCAAAAGATTAGAACAGGTCTGAAAATTCAGAAAAGGCGTTTAAATTTAATGTTTTGATGCAAATGAACATCAAAATATACCTTGATTGAGGAAATGGATATAAATAATCCCAAAGAAGAGCAAATGCAGCTATTAAGACGGCTGCACCACATATGACTAGTCTTACATCCATAAGGGCAAAATTTTCTTTATAACCGAACTTTTTCGTGAAAACCTAAAGCCAAGAGAACACTATATACAACTCAATTGATACACTGTGTATCCCATATATTGTAAAACTTAGAGCAAAAAATTGTAGCATATTTATACAGAAATATAGGTCCAAATATTGATGTATTAAGTAATGTCACATAACAAACCTCTTTAATAGCATCATCAACAGCATTTTTGACCGCAGATCCATCCCATTTATTTATTTTTAGGGGCTACAAGATTAAAACATGAAATATAGGTTAGGTTGGATAGAACATGTTTTATTTAATTTTCTGAATACCTTGTCGTCTTTTTCTTCTTTCTTAGTTTTGGTTGACATATTAAGAATTAAACGGTAGCTTTATACACTAAAAACTTTTAATTACACTTATTATATTTAAGTAAACAGAATGAAAACCTCAAATTGTAAGAAAATCAGCAAAATTGACAAGTGTGATTAGACACGTCATGTTTATTGCACCTTTAAAACGCATGCGTCAGAATTTTTAAAACGCCGCGGAAGTTTGAAAATATGAAAACGCTTTTGCTTTCTCATGATGTCACCTTTAGAAAACAAGCAGAGCGTCGTTTTACAACCAAGATATCTAACAATACCTCTGTATCATCAAGATTAAGTAACTTTACGAAATCACCAACATGGTTTCATGACTTGCCCTTGGAAGTGCTTTTAAAAATTTTTAGTAACTTTTCTGAAAAAGAGCTACGAAAGAATATAATTCCAGTTTGTTTCCTTTTACTTATAGGGGAAGCACACGCATATATTTTTGCCTCTTTTAGGTTTGTCAGAAATGGAGATATGCAGCCCTAAAACCACAACTTTGGAAGTGTTTCGAAGTAGTCGGGGGGAAAATACCCTTAAATCGTATCTGTTACGAAATCAATCGATTCCCTTACCTACAAATCGTTGTACTTAAAAGCGTCCATGATCCCAAACAAATTATAAGACAAGTTTGTCGTTGCCTTTCAAATCTTAAAGAACTTACCATAAAAGATTGCGAAGAAATTCCAGAAAAGACTTTAATAAACGTTTTATATAGTTGCAGAAATTTAGAGAAACTCAATTTGAGTGGAACTCCTTTCAGAGGAAAAAAAGTATTCGAAGATATATCGCTTCTTCCAAATTTGAAGTTAGACATGAATGAATACAATATTCTTTTATTTAATTTATTTACGTTCATATAAATTAATTTCTTTTGTAGAAGCTTAAATTTGGCCAAAAACCCTTACATTACCATACAAAAGCTAACAACCTGCGTACTGAATTGTACCGGTTTAGAAGAATTCCGTTTATCGAAATGGGTTTCACTAGATGAAATTCTCAAATTTGATGACCAAGATGTGTCCCCAATATTGTTGAATTTATCGTCAAGTTTAAGATCTCTCACTTTGGATTGCTCCAATCTAACAACTAATTCGTTTAATGTTAGCCATTGCCAGCAAATATTTTTTCGTTTTAATTTTTATTATCCACAATAATCTATCATATTCGTTTTGTAGAAAATTTTTACTTGTAATTGTTTAGAAAGACTAAGTCTTCATAGGGCAAAGCATCTGGATGGTGAAATGTTTGCTAAATTACACAGATATTTCCCGGCATTAACGGTACTTAAAGTAAAACATGCAAGTCAAATTTCTGACGCCAATATTGTACAACTTTTTACGGAAGGAGAAGAAATAATGGAAAACTTACAAACTTTAGATTTGTCAGGTTGTTGGCAGGTAAAATAAAAAAAATTTCTTGAGAAATAATTCAGTCGCAGAAATAAAATATAAAAAAGGAGTAATTCAGTTTAAAAAAGGTGTACAATATTATTTTGGACTTAAAAACGCTTTCTTAAAATTGGAACAAAAGCTAAACAATGAATGAAGGAAAAAATTGAGAAAAATACTGTATTCATCTATAGCCTAATTTTACTTTGTTAAAAATTTAATTAACGTTATAGCTTACAGATAACGGCTTGAGATGTATCATTAATTGCTGCAAAAATTTGAATCGACTGTCCTTGCAAGGTTGCAAAAGACTTACCAGCGTTTCTCCATTACTGGACATAAATTTAAATTTCTTAAATATCGCTTTTAACGTTAATATGGACATTGAGAATGTCGAAAATTTAAAAATAAAAGAGTTGATAATAGACGAACAGCAGGAAAAACAAATTTTCGAAAAAGTTACAGGAGTTATTGTATGGGTGTCCAGGTCTGAATACCGAAAATGTTTACGCAAAATGAATATGTCCTTCGAAAAGTGAATTCGTGCCTTGTATATATGTAGTTATTTTTGTATATTTTTAAACATTTTAATCGATTAAAAATATACATTTATTCATTCTTTCATAAAATACATACATATTTACAAATTATTCCTGCTTTGAGTAAATAAAAAACTAAGTTTATATTTTTTAATGTTATTTTAACTATATTTTTAATTTTCCTTGCATTCGCGACTTTCGAAACAATGAGGGGATGAACAATTACATGCCACAATCGTGAATGCAGGGCTAATACAGAAGCACGAATTGATACAGTTATTCGCGCGGGTGATTTATTTTGTTCAATATTAAGATAGAAAAAATAATTACGATTTAAAAGCTAACATCTTAAGATGATTTTTCGCCTTCTGCGTCTTTCTCCTCGTTTTCCTTGTTTTTGGCTTCGGGAACCCACAGACCAGAATCCACACAACGTTTCATATGATATTTTGCTGCCTCTTCGTCCATTTCGCTTATCGTTTTCTGAAGAAGAGCGATATCTTGCGACTCAAAACATTTTTTTAAAGGCTCTGGCAGACTTTCAAATACTTCCACAGGGTCTAAACCGCCTGGGCCTAAACGTTTTTGTCGTTCTTCTTCTTCGATTTCCTGTTACAATTACAATTAAATTATTTATCAGTTATTGGTAGCCTTTCTAATTAATTAATTACTGTTTAATACTTAATGAAGAACTGGAGATAAATTAATTTGAAAAATTTCTGATTAGATTACATTTTATTCAATTTTTGATAATAAATGTCATAGTTTGTTATTCTGAACCTAATTATTATAAAATTTTTAATTATCTACATTTAAGTTTATTACCAGCATTTCTGTTTAATTCAACTTCTGATTTTAATCTTACCTTCACTGCTGCTTCAATTTTTTCTTGTGCTCGCTTCTTAATTCTCTCCTTAAACTGCCTTAATTCATCATCAAATGAAGCTTTGTATTCAGGCTCTGCAACCTGTATCTTTGAGAAAAATGCATCCACACAAGCCCTGGGATCATAATCTAGCTGTTTGGCTAGCTCCAGAATGTACTGCATGCATATTGTCTGATGTGCTACATGTTCCATGAGGTCATGTTTCTAAAATGTGATAATTTATTAGGTATCATTTTTATTAATATTTCCATGGTTTTCAGTCAACTGATGTACCTCTTCCATTTCAAGATTAATGCACCAAATAACTAAATAATTTGCAGTATCTTCACAGACTAGCTGGTTATGTGATTTAAGGAACAGTCTGGAATCATCGTATTTCCTCAGCATTCCAAAATGTTTGAGGTCCTTCTCATTTTCTTTTATAAATTTCTTCATTCGTTCCTCCTTTTCTTCTTCTGTTAAATTCTCATCCTTTGACCTTTGTGGTTTAGTATTTATAACTGTTTTGGCAAATTTCTCTTTGCTTATAGTGTCAACATTCCATGGTGTTTTCTTTTCCTTCTTCTTCAGTTCTTCTTCCTTTGCTTTAATATCTTTAGATTGCAGTTCCAGCTCCATTAACTGCTTTTTTAGATCCTCTACACTAGCATTTCCTGATTTCTCTGCTTCTAACAATTTAGATTTCACTTCATTGTATTTTTTTTCATGTTCTTTCTTTTTCTTTTCAAATTCTTCCATTTCTTTCTGCCTTTCTGCCATTCTTTCCACTCTTGCTTGATGTCTCCATCGAAATAATGAAGGTGTATCAATGTTTGGATGGGTTTCATCTTCATCGTCTGAAATCTTTCAAGAATAATTATTATAAATGCAACCTTTAGAAGCTTTAAATTAATAGGATATTAAGAAAATCTTAAGGAAATAGAATGTAATTAATTTTATTGGTTATGTTCAAAATATGCAATATTTGATACATTTATCTTGGCTTTGCTGGAACTTTCGGCTAATGTATAATACATTTTATTAGTTAATTTTAGCCATCAGTTATCCTCAGATAATATAAATTGGTAAAAGTAAAAAGTTGTTTTAAATTTTATCAGTTTAAAACTTGTACTTACTTCAATATCTTTCCATTTACTGTAATCGACCATCTTCCTATTAATACTGTACACAGCACAAATAATTTCTTTCAATTTCTAGTTAATTTTGTACAAAATAACTTTTTCATTGACTTGTAAAACTTCTAACACGACTGTTGTTAACGTTCCAGACCATTCCGTTGACAAATGAACTACTTCACCATTCCACTAATAAACATTCAGTAAATTTTTTGATCTAAAAACTGAAAAACTTAAAATATTCGATCTAAAATCATTTACTATTAATTGTTCAAAGTCTTAACGTTGATTAGAAATTCATGATCCAAAGAAACGACAATTTTTGTTAAATAAAAAAGTTTTTAAGGATAGCGAAAGCTACTTTTTCAAATCAGTTACGAAATTCTTATGTTGGTAATATTGATTTGAGCAGGTTGTCCAAAGTATTATTAAATTGGAGGTGTCCAGGAATGGTGCGCGAAGTAAAAAACAGCATCTGCCATTTTGCGAATGTAACGCGAAGTTATTTAATCAAATAAGTTATGTTGGTGCGACGTTTTAAAAATAAACAAAAGAAGGTATAAACTAATGTTTAAATGGACGCATCGTCCATTATTTTTCAAGTGTCACGGGAAGACGAACAATTGAATAGTTACCCTCCCGAAAAAGGTAAATAACAAGTGACAGATTCCATCGTTTGGTTTCACACCTGCACCTGATTAACCGATATTAAATTTGTGAAAGTTTACAAGGCAAGTGCATTAAATTTCGCGTTTTATTTCTGCACAGAAAAATTAGCAACATGCTCAAATCAGATATGTAGGCGTACTTGGATATGTAAAAGTAAACATGGTAAACAAGATGACACGAGCCGAATCCAGCTAACCTTGAGTTGAGTTTCAGGATTGGGTGGTCGTTTTAAAAAATGCACTATTATTTAATAATTTCCGTTTGATATTCTGCAGAAATGTTAGAGCGGTGATATTTGGGTGACCTCCTTACCAGATTCATTTAAATTCATGTAGCTACTCTGTCAAACTTTCACATTTTTAAATAGTAAACAAACATTCATATCAACGCTATTAAAAATTGAATGGTTCCATATTATGGTCTTCTAATTGAAATTTGTTAAATTAATACTGGTGTAGTATTAATTTGAATTGTACATAATTGTTGCCATTTGTTTAGTTTGTTTTAGAACTTGTCCTCGACAGGTTATTCTTAGATCTTATCTCTAGATAAAAATTAAGTTACTCAGATACCATTTAACTTATTTTGACAGTCACTTAGCAGATTATTATATTATATTACAATGGGAATATAGAATTTTTGTTTTTTTTTTAATAGGAACCTTAACAAAAAATGATAGTGACATATCAGAGGCCCGCTCATCAGAGCCAGAAACAAATAAAAAGGCCAAGAAAGGTTTCTTGCGCACATTATTATGCTGCCTTGGTCGCAACAGACACAAGAACACAAACACAAATACTTATGTGGATGGCAAAGAGTCCCCCACGAATATTTCCGGTTCCCCTCGGTACTTATTACCTCCCGTTCGGCACCAGGACATGCATAAAAAGTGCATGGTCATAGACTTAGATGAAACTTTAGTTCATAGCAGCTTTAAGGTAAATAACGTCGACAAAAACAATTTAATAGACTAAATTGTTTTTGTTAATTGGTAACAATAGTCAGTATAAACTTTATAAATGCAAAGTGCTTTCTGAAAAATAGTGAATTGCTTCTTTCATACATCTTACATGTTTCTTTAATACATCTAAGGGGAATCCCATTACAATTAAGTAATAAATGAAACAAATGAAGTGCTTCATTAGTTTTATTTGTTGGTTCATTTCCTCGGGGAGTCCCGGCAAATTTATTAGCTTTGACATTGTACAGAGGGCGTTCACAGCGCTGTTTGTAGTAATTAACATTGGAAAATGATAAAGAATAATTTTTATAGCCAATTAGCAATGCTGATTTCGTGGTACCAGTAGAAATAGACGGACTAGTGCACCAGGTGTATGTGTTAAAGAGGCCATATGTGGACGAGTTCCTTAAGAGAATGGGAGAGCTGTACGAGTGCGTATTATTTACCGCATCCCTTGCCAAATATGCGGATCCCGTTGCGGATCTGTTGGACAAGTGGAGCGTTTTCAGGGTGAGACTGTTTAGGGAAAGTTGCGTCTTCCATAGAGGTAATTACGTCAAGGACCTTAATAAATTAGGACGTGACCTGAAAAACATTGTTATTGTTGATAATTCACCAGCGTCGTACATATTCCATCCAGATAATGCGGTAAGTCCAACAAAATAGAAAATATTTCTTTATATTACATTGTACTTGCTGTCCCTAGACTGTCCTACCCAACATAATAACTGCAATAGCTAGAAAGTAAAAACTACAAGTTGTTCTTCATAAAATCCTCTTTGTAAAGTGTTCTTTAGATCTAAATAAGTTTACATTTTGTCAAAAAAACATCGAACCCAAGTGTATGGTTCTGATCTCTTTGTGCTGGTATGGGACCGTCTATTTTAATTTGTTGTTTAGTCTCATCTTTCTTCGTTGTTAATTGTATATGGAATGTTTTTAAGGGTGTGTACACATTTTCAGGTGCCTGTTGCATCGTGGTTTGACGACATGTCGGACTCCGAGTTGCTGGATCTTATTCCATTTTTCGAAAAACTGAGCAAAATGGACAATGTGTATACAGTGTTATGTAATTCTAATCACCCGTATAATAGTAGTGTGCCCCAGTTGAAAGGTAATCAGGGGTCGTGCAATAGTACTCCTTCTTCCAGGGAACAGTCGCCTGCTTCGTAGCATTACGTCTTAAACCGCGTTAGAGGTATGATTTCTTTCGCGAGAGCTTTTCTACTCTAAAAAAATAATGAATTAGAATAACTAAACTAAATATAATAAGTACACATTTATAAATGATAACAACAACAACAGCAACAACAATAATAATAATGCACAGTTACTACTACCATTATTATTGTTGTCATCTCTTGAGGAATAAATAGAAGAACAAAGCAAGAGCAAGGGTGTTGTTGGGTAGCTTGAATATTACCCCCCCCCCCCCAACTCTCCAAACGGAACCAACCCTGCGCGCCCTATTCGACTGAAGGAAATTTTACAGGTGTGTACGTACGATCGTCTATAAAAATAGTTTGTTGTATTGTACATTTTTACAAAATGTGATGTTGAAAAAGCGTTTGTTGATGTAAGTTTTAATTTATGTATGTATAAATATTAGCCTCTGAATGCCATTGCTGATGTTGAGATTAGGTCCTTGTCCTTGCGCCGCCCCTCTCCCCTTCCCCCATAGTTCCATGCCCCTTGAATTGCCTATACACGGGAGTCAAAAGTGACCCTCAACATGATAAAAATTCAGTGCTTTTTTGCCACCTCAAAAAGTGTATTGTTACGTGTCTTATAAGCAAGCTTTTAAACTAAAGGAGAAATGATATTAAATTGTATTACATACACTTACATACTGTATACATAATCGGTTATGTAAACGGCGTTGTATTTTTTTCGAACATAAAGTGAAAACGAATAATATGATAATGAGAAACATATTTGTGTGTGATGCGTGTTTGTGCGAATGTATGACGTAGAGCAAATTTAATTTGATTGATTTATTAGCACGATTATATTTAAGTACATAAATTTTCGGTCGGTAGACTTGCTAAAAATATTATATACAGAATTTCCAAATGATGATAATTATTTCGATAAATAAATGAATGAAAAACGTATCAGAAAAAGATTATATTAATTTGAAATTTGGCATTTATTGTATGTAGTAATGTACGGCCAGTAGCATTCCTACAACAGAAAACTTTAGTGCAACATTTTTTACCATGTTTCGTAATTAATACATACAACCACTGCCCCCCCCTTCCCTCAATTTACTAATGTTTGCAGTTAAAGGTCTTAAGGCGAAAATGATATTGAGTTGACCCCCTTAGGAGATTTTCCTAATATTCCAGATACTAATACAACATTAAAATTCCTATGTTAATTGGTCCTATTTAAATGTCTATACTAAAAATGTTCTTCTCTGGACTAACCAAGTAATTTTAACAGTTTTTTTGATAATTAAAGAAGCATCCTTTGAAACTTCCAAAGAGTTTGGGTTTTATTAGGATCTGTTTATCCTTAAGTTATGGATGAGATATTGCGAGTGCCGATTCACTATACTTATCGCCTAAGATCTGATTAACAACGTTATTATTTTATTAAAACACAACTAATTTGCTTGTTAATTAAAAAGTTATATTAAAAAAGAGGAAAACCTACTGCAAAAATATTTTTAATATAGATATATCTTGTATAATATATTTTTACTTTTTGGTAGTGCCATTTATAAACATTATTGAAAGAAATAGTCAGAGATTTTATACTGAATGATTTTTCTCAATTACGAGAATTTTTATATACTTACGGTTTTTTTTAATAGTTTAAATATTATGAAGATTTTTCGAGCGTAATTTTAATTTTTATCAATTGCATACAATTTGAATGAGCAAAATCACAGTCTATTTATTTATTAAAAGGAGTGAATATGTGGAATCGTGAAGCACAACAAAAACCTCTTTGTTTATAAGCTTTAATACATTGGCGAATTTTGTGTCAAATAATTAAATTTTTTGTATTATTTTATTAAATGGTAAGGAATTACAAAATTGTATAAAATAGTTAATAATATTCCGCTAAAGATTTGATTGATTTGATACGAGAATTGTCAAAACAAAATAGTCTATTGGATCACTGTTTTTTTTTACATTTTTAAAATGTAATATTAGTTATTATAGTATTGATTAAACATTTAGTATTCGATATTGTAGTAGAGAAAACCATAAAGGCTCGTTACAGTTAAAGTAATCAAAATCGTCATCTTTCCTACAATTATTTATTAGTTTATTGTTGTAAAAGTTTGAGGGATTTCCCCCAAATTAAAAAGTTTGAGTTTATTTAAATTGGATTATTTTGATTATTTGGACTTGTAAAAGCTTTTATGGAAAAAGTGATACGGAATTTGAGGCAATAATACTTCGTTCTTGATTTTATTTTTTTTTTTACATATTTTCACGAGCTATTAATGTGTGGAGTGGCACTTTTTCTTAATTAATTTTTAAACCGTTTGCTTGGACGTTTTTAATAGAGGTGTGTGATTGTTTGATATTCTCAAATAATTACAATTTTGAGAATAATTTGAGATTTTTTGAACAGTTCGAATTTCTTCAAAAGACTAGGGTCGTCGATGAGTATGAAAATGATTCCCATAACATTTAATGCTCTTATCCATCCTAATCCTTTGAAGCTTAACTATTAAAGATTATTTTACAATTTTCAATAGGTATGTACTTAATACGAGGGATGTTTTATCGTAGGGTTGATTATTGTTTAGTGTTAAGTGACTCACAAAAGTGAATTATTTGAAAAAAATCGAACTAGGTATTCGAAAGCATTTGAATTATTCGAAAAATTGCTAATTGAATGGTATTGTTCAGTTTGATGCGATTTGCACGTCCTGTTAATTATTTTCTTTTTTAAATTAATATTTTTTCCTTTTTTTGTGAGACATGACTGACGATGATGTCCGCTTGATAGAAAAAAATAATTAAAAGCAAACCAAAAGAAACACTGTAATGCATACAAAATGTAGTTTTTTCTCTTCTGATCTTCAACAAGTGATTAAATTGTGGGAACAATCGTTTTTGTTCCACTGCTACGTGTGGCCTTAAGACAATATCTCTGACATTTTTTAACTTTTGACGCGAAATTTTTACTGTAGATAACGATCAGTCCCTTTATTAATAATTAATTATAATAATGAATATGATATAAACGGAGCCAGTTGCGAAATAAAATAATTTTTACAATGAACTTTGCAATTGTATTATAGATAAGTAATTATTTCATAGATTTCATAATTTTTGTAACATGGGTGTCCAG